GCCCCGGATCGATTGAGGTAAGCGTTCTAACGTTTCTACGATTCATAGAAGCATAGTTCTATGGTTTATTAAATTTTTTATCTACATCCGCTGCGCAAACCCTAGAATCTATCTCTTACAAATACGATTCGCTCTACAGATCCCAGGAAACCCAACAACCATTCCCAAATTTTCTCCTGTATTTATTTTTCATACTCACTTCGGATCGTAATTCGATTCCTCTATTTATGTACTTCCATCTTTTTCACCTTCGTTAAACCCACTTATTTTTATTGTTTTACATTTGATTTTTAACTTAGCACCTTCATATAGTTTGATCCGTGGACCAAACGGTCCAGCCATTTTGGGATTTTTCCCTTTTTGTTTTAGCCTGGACCAGTCGATCTATAAGCAGACCTTCCGGTCCATGCTTGTTGGCCAACTGACTTTGTTTTTAATCCTGGACCGATCGATCTAGGTGTGGACCGGTTGGTCCAACTCATTTCGGACCGTTCGTTCTGTCTATGGCCCAGACCGGTCGATCCAGTCTTGGACCGATCGGTCTGGAACCTGCTGGACCGGTCGGTCCAGCTCATTTCAACCCGTTCATTCGGTCGGTGTCCTAGACCGGTCGGTCTGGGATTTGGACCGGTCGGTATGGGACCTGGACTTCATCTTCCCCACGAGATCCATCTCGATTTTTGCCATTTTTGACCAAATTTTAATCCGATTTCGGTTCCGATTGCTATTCACTCATTATTTAACATTTCTAGGTCCTTAATTCTTGTAGAAACACTAATCTACACCATTATTCATGAGAACTGAATCTCACAAACACAACTCAAAACCACTCACCGTGGATTCAAGTGCTATATGTTTTTGGCCGAGCTCTTGTGCATTCTACGGGCCGTTTCTGGTCATGAAACTTCCTAGAAACCTCCTAGGGATGTCCCTCTACAAGTTTCTGAGCTCGTTTTGCCTTGAATGGACTTCTCTCGCCCTCATTTTCTCTCTTTTTCGAACTCTAGGTTTCTGAGCATAGATGGTCGACTTGGCCTGTTGGAGGGGTTAAAACGACATTTTTTTGCGAGATTTCTAGCCCTAGAACAGGTCATGGGGCCTTCGTGTTGCGCACTAGACAGGGGTGGCGGCTGGTGGCACGTGGGTTCGGTGTGTCGCGTAATAATCGCGGCCGAAAGGTGCCAGCTCGACAGATTTTTCTGTCGTCGAGCCCAGACCGTCGGTCCAGGCGCAAATTTTTTCATTTTTTTCGTTTTTCCAGTCTGGTCCCGATTATCTCTGGTCTGGTCGGTCTGGACCATGGACCAACCGGTCCGGAGTCCTGGAAATGTGTATTCGTGAGATGTTTCGTCCATTTTGACCCATTCCGGCCCGTTTTTTAGTCCAACTTCTCTTTTATCCATTTTAGGACGTCTCTCGACTAAAACTCCTTCTCGACTTATTATTCGTGTCCCTTTTTATTTCATTATTTATCTCTTAAAATAATTAAATATTTCTTAAGGGATTCGGGGTATTACATGACCTGCGGTTTGCAGCAGGTCACTTGGCCTACGGCAGGTCACTTGCGGCACCTGTAGGTCAACTGCGGCATCTGTGGCACCTGTGACCTGTGACACCTGCAGTAGGTCATTTGCGGTACCAGCGGCACATACGGTCTGCGGCAGGTCATTTGGCCTGCGGCATGTCACTTGCGACACCTGGCAGGTCAACTGCAATACCTGCGACCTGCGGCCTATCACACCTGCGACCTGCGGACTTGCTGACCTGCGGCCTGTCGCACCTGCGGACCTGCGGACCTGCTGACCTGTGACCCGCGGACCTGCAGACCTGCTGACATGCGACATGCGACGTGCGGCCTGCGACCATGATTTCAGTACGACCATATAACTATGACTACGACCAGATAATTGTGACCGTGATTTGACTACGACTAGATAATTATGGCTACGACAAGATAATTGAGACCGTGATTTCACTACGACCATATAACTACGACTACGATCAGATAATTACGACTGTGATTTCACTACGACCATATAACTACGACTACGACCAGTTAATTACGACTGTGATTTCACTACGATCATATAACTACGACTACGACCAGATAATTACGATTGTGATTTCACTACGACCATATTTTAGAAATCGAAACGTTTTGTTATTTCATCTTATTTTTTCTCCAACATTTTCTCAATCTCTTCTATTTTTTTACAGTTTATCTAATCTATTCAAATATTCTTCTGATTGATCTTTTTCTGTGATATTCTAATCATTTTTTTTGTATGCACATAAAGTGTTTGATAAAATATTTGTAAAAGAAAACTGTAGAAGATGACCTGTCGTCTGTGAAAAATGACCTACGCTCTGCGGATGACCTATAGCCTACGACAGATGACCTAGGGTCTGCCAGATTACCTGCGGCCTGTGGCAGATCATCTTCGGCACCTACGACTTACGATAGGTTAACTACGACACCTGTCGCACCTGCTAACCTCCAAGTGTTTTTTCACGAAACTCATACAAGTGTTTTTCTGTACTTATATAAGAAAACAAAATCCATATAAGTGTTTTTTATGTATGTGGAGGAAAACGAAATTCATGCAAATGTTTTTTTTATAAATGTAGAAAATCTGCAGGTTATTATAATATAGAATGGTATGATGGTCATTTTAATTTAAAAAATATAGAATACAAATATTACAATAGTAGAAATATAGAATGCAAAGACAGTTTTTTTGTACCTTATGCAAATTTTTTCAATATATTTTTTTAAAATCTATTTTGTCCTTTTTTCAATTAGTTTATATCCTATTGCACTCATAATTGATAAATATTTAATTTGATTATTATTATTATTATAAACTTAGGCATTATATATATATACATATCTGTTTCTGAAATAATAATATACTAAGAAGGAAGAAATCACGTGAGGAGTGGAGATCACGTAGGCACATGTAGCGGACTGTCATTTGGTGTGGCTTTCGTGATCTGTCTTCGGTTTCTCCGTCTCTCTTGTCTTTTTCTTTTCTCCTTATTCTTCCATTTTTTTTTACATATTCTTTTCACCTCTACACCATGGACTCGTGGGGTAGAATCATTTCCACTTATTGGTGGAAAATAAATGTCGTCTATATTTTTCTATAAAAAAAATATATCATATAACTATCTCAAAACCATATGCATATATTGCAGATCTTGGTTCAAATTTTGAGTTAGAACGAGATGTGATATCGGTGGCCGTTGCACCACAAGATATTTCTTATGCCCAATACATTTATTTAAAAAATGATTATTAATAAAATTTCTGTTCAATTTGGTTATTTTTAATATATATATATATATTATTTTTGTGATATTTTATTTATATTATTTCTTCAAAAGTTATCATATTTTTATTTCAGTTATTTTTATATTTAATTCAAAATTATTTTGGTTTTTATTTCAGTTAATTTAGCTTTTAAAATTTGTATATAATTTCATAAATTGAAAAAATAAGAAAATAAACTAAATTTGAAAATATTTCTTGGAAATATAAGTCAGAAAGAAGCATTAATTTGAACACACAACTAATGAAATATCCAAAGCAAAACAGTGTGCTTTTTTTTTGTCGCGGAAAATCAGAATAAAACATATGGTGTTAAAAATTACTCCTCTATTTCATAATAATTTATGTTTAATTTTTTTCAGTAAAAAAAAGTCATGCATATCTTTATTTAAATTGAAATATAATTAATATTTATCAATTTTATTAGAATTGATTAGTTTTAATTAAAGATAAAATTAAAAATTATTTTAAAAAATTATCTAGAAAATCTAAAATAGCAAATGAAATTTATCAATTTACAAAATATCACTCAGAAAATTATTTGCTTGTTAACAAGTGATCTACTTGAATACCATTTGTGAAAAATATTTATACTTTTTCTGGTAAAGTTTTTATTTTCCCTCCAGAATTCCTTTTTTTCCTTCCCACCCAATTCTTGACAAATGGATATTTTTACGGATTTAATTTATTCATTATTATTATTTATCTGATATTTTTTGTAATTTATACAAATTAATTGTTTAATAATTGATGCTACTTGGTTGCTAGCTGGCTGATTCACGATGTTAAAAGACTAATCAATCACTCGTGCAGTCTGAGATACTTTCAACCTCACCTCCTCTCTCCATCTCTCGTCTTCTTCAGGTACTCACTCTCTCCCTCCCTCCCTCCCTCTCTTTCTCTCTCTGGATCTCTTTCTTTTCTTCGCTAGATTTCTCAAACTTCCCTCCCTCCCTCTCATTCTCTCTCTGGATCTCTTTCTTTTCTTCGCTAGATTTCTCAAACTTGCAAATTCATCTTATGTGTTGAAAAGGGTTTCTAAATTTACCAACTCTGGTTTGAATTTCAGGTAATTTTTGGAGTTTGCTCTACATTTTTTCTGAAAATTTCAGTTCTGCATTTTCTAGTTGATTTTTGACAACCCAAGTGTGTAGATCTAGGAGAAACCCTAGAGTTTTCTGCTTCTTTTCCTTTTCAGATGGGTAGCAGTTGGTCAATCTAGCCATCCATGGACATTTAGATACACACACGCACGCACACACACACATATGTACACTCAGAAACGTATCACTATGCTAATGCTCATGACATTTGAGCTTTCTTTGGGTAATTCGCAGTTTTCGTCGGATTTTCCGGAGAATTTTCTGCTGCATGCAAGTTGAATGGATATGTTTGTTAATTCTGGCTGCGTATTGTGTTTTCCCCGTCTCTTTAGAGGTCTTATGTTCTTTATATGTTTATAAAACTATTCGGGGCTCTTTTCACTTATGAGTTGGAGTGAATCTAGCCGCTTAACTGGCGAATCTGGAGATTGGTAATGCGTTCTCTTTGTATCTTGTCCTGTATGGTTGTTTTATTCTTTCTTTGAAACGTTTGAGATTGCCTCTACGTTCACTAGGAACATTGTAATTGCTTTTCTAATAGTGTAAAGAGAGCAAGTTGCTGTTTTTCATTGGTTCATTTTCTTGCTCTGAAATGAGTCATGTGTCATTGAGTCTTTGGATCTGCTCAGTTATGTTTATAAAAGATCTTGTTTCGTTTTTGTTTTGGGTTTGATGATTCTTATTTTCTGGCTGTTTATTCACCAACTCTGAAGTTGGATTGGAGGGCATCTGATCAGTTGTTGTTTACTTCGATGCAGCGAGATTTCGGCTTCCTAACTTCCCAAAATGTCGGATCTTGAGGCACCTCTTGTACGGCCTAAAAGAAAGAAGGTGTGGGTTGACTATTTCGTCCAGTTCAGATGGATCATTGTCATTTTCGTCGTCCTTCCAATTTCAGCTACCATCTACTTCCTGATGTATCTCGGGGATGTTTGTTCGGAGATGAAGTCATACAAGAAACGCCAGAAGGAACACGACGAAAACGTTAAGAAAGTCATCAAAAGACTCAAGGAGAGGAACCCATCAAAGGACGGGCTAGTTTGCACTGCACGCAAACCTTGGATTGCTGTGGGAATGAGGAATGTGGATTACAAGAGAGCTCGCCATTTCGAGGTCGACTTGTCTGCTTTCCGCAACGTCTTAGAGATTGACAAAGAGAGAATGATTGCTAGGGTTGAGCCTCTCGTCAACATGGGTCAGATCACCCGTGTCACCGTTCCAATGAACCTATCCCTTGCTGTTGTGGCCGAGCTTGATGATCTCACTGTTGGTGGACTCATCAATGGCTACGGTATTGAAGGAAGCTCCCATATCTATGGTTTGTTCGCTGATACAGTTGAGGCATACGAAATTGTTCTAGCAGATGGGACACTTGTACGGGCCACAAGGGACAACGAATACTCCGATCTTTTCTATGCTGTTCCATGGTCTCAAGGAACCCTTGGGCTCCTTGTCGCTGCCGAGATTAGGCTTATACATGTGAAAGAGTACATGAAACTTACATACATACCAGTTAAGGGTGATCTTAAAACCTTAGCCCAGGGTTATATTGATTCTTTCGCGCCTAGAGACGGGGACCCTGAGAAAATCCCGGATTTCGTTGAAGGCATGGTTTACACTGCCAACGAGGGGGTGATGATGACGGGAAAATACGCTTCCAAAGAAGAAGCTAAGAAGAAAGGAAACAAGATCAACAATGTCGGGTGGTGGTTCAAGCCATGGTTCTACCAACATGCTCAGACCGCGCTGAAGAAGGGAGAGTTTGTCGAGTACATTCCTACTAGGGAATATTACCACAGGCACACTCGGTGTTTGTACTGGGAAGGGAAACTTATCCTCCCGTTCGGTGACCAGTTCTGGTTCAGGTTCCTCTTCGGTTGGTTGATGCCCCCCAAAGTTTCCCTCCTTAAAGCTACTCAAGGTGAAGCCATCAGAAACTACTACCATGAGATGCATGTCATCCAGGACATGCTCGTTCCGCTCTACAAAGTCGGAGATGCCCTTGAATGGGTCCACCGCGAGATGGAGGTAAGGTTTACAGTTCTTTCATAATGTTTATTCTGACCATTATTCAATTGTTCTTTCATCCATTTTAGGACATTTTAACTTGCTTTTTCCAAGTACTAACCAAATTTTTATCAAAGAACTTAATTCTTTTCTTTCTCCTTAGGTATACCCCATTTGGCTTTGCCCTCACAAGTTGTACAAGCTCCCGGTGAAAACCATGATTTACCCGGAGCCGGGCTTTGAGTACGAAAACAGACAGGGAGACACTGACGATGCCCAGATGTACACTGATGTCGGTGTCTACTATGCCCCAGGTCCTGTCCTAAGAGGTGAGGTTTTCGACGGGTCAGAGGCTGTTCGCAGGATGGAGCAATGGCTGATCGAGAACCATGGGTTCCAGCCTCAGTACGCAGTGTCAGAACTCGACGAAAAGAGCTTCTGGAGAATGTTCGACGCTGACTTGTACGAGCACTGCCGCAGGAAGTACAAGGCTATCGGGACGTTCATGAGCGTGTATTACAAGTCGAAGAAGGGTAGAAAGACCGAGAAGGAAGTCCGAGAAGCCGAGCAAGCTTGCCTCGAGACACCTTATGCCGAAGCCAACTGATTTGGTTGATGAGTGAGTTTAGTGTCTTTGCTTTTCTCTCCCGCGGATTAGATTTTCCTCTGTTTCTTTTCTTGCTTTGTGTTTTTCTGAGTTTGTGGATCTTTATATTTCTGTTGCGTTGAAGACAAAAACTGTTGTTGCTGCTGCTGTTCTTGTTCGAATGCTTTTGACTGAATTTAGGGTTTCCAGACTTTGTTGGATTGTTGATTAGAATATCGGCTTTTGTTTTTTGCTTTTTCTGGGGTTTTAATTAGGGGTGATAATTCGGACTCGGTTAAATCAAATCGAACTCCTATGCCCAATATAATTCTTTTTAATCCAAAGAATACGAATTCGAATAAATTAGAATTTAAATTAAATTAACATAAACAAAGAGAATAAAAACGGAAATTTATAATATTTTTTATTAATAGAAATGAATAAAAAAATAAAATAAAACGAATTTTAATTAGAAAGTGAATAAATATAATTTTTCTAGAAAATCCCAAATAAAAAATAATGAATCAAAATCCAAAGTCGTATGCGAACAGTAGCAGGTTTGGTATAAATAAGTTTACAATGTAACAATTTGGCAGTC